GGTATATATATATATATATATATATATATATATATATATATATATATATATATATATATATATATATATATATATATTTAAATTGTCAATATAAATGAGTCAGATAAAATTAAATTATTAGAAGAATTTTACACCAAGTAACAAAAAACGAAATTTATTTGATTTATTAATGTTTGTTTGAGAACGATTTCTGAAGTAGAAATTGAAACATCAATAAACTTTGTGACTTATTCCCATTAAAATATTAATTACATTAAGATACAACAAGAAAATAACTTCAGAACAATATTGGATAATTATTTTTTTATGTTTGATACTTATATGACTTTCCTTATTGGAGCGACATTAAAAAACGTTAAAAGAAAATAATTTACGTAATTTTAAAGCATAATACGGCCCTGTTGATATCCGAGAATACTTGTTCTTCACACACTGTTGCCAAACTGAATTTTGTTATTTTAAGTTTAAATTGTCTTGCCGAATTCAAAGTTGACTATACATACACAGAAGATTGTAAATATGTATATTTTTTAAAAAGACGGCTAACCTACGCATTGTAGCATTTAATGTAAGGCGATACATTGATGAACGATACTGGAATAAAGAAGATTGACTAATGACAGATATCTCTATCGTTAAATTATGATCTATTTGGAATAAAAATCATATTTTCACAAAATGCAATGAAAATAATAGGATGGACTCTTTTGAAACACCAATTATGGATACAGTAACTTACTTATTAAGTACTTCTAGAAAGCACTGGGAGAAAAAATGTTGTCAACAACTTTCTTTTGTACTAATTCGTTGAAATATTTAAGCTTCTTCGTTGATTAATATAATATTTTATTTATTTTGGCGTTGCTTTAAAACATTTATACTTCTATTTCCCAATCGTTAATATTTTTGATTGCTGAACGAGAAGCTACTTTGTTATAGTCTGTGCAGTTATTCCTTTGCTATACTTTATACGTAGTTTCAAATAGAAGATTTAATGATAAAGTGTAGGGAAATATATGAAAATGTATTTTAAATTATTCTGTCTTGTTGGTTATTTCATAAGGAGGAGTTTTTGCTTGTTTGATAAACAACGAATATTTTAAAATAGTTGGAAGTCAGTCTAGCACTGTAATTACGTTTAACAGATAATGGTACTGTCACGATTTAAGTTAAGCCACGTAAAAAATAACTTTTAAAAATATTATATTGAGAAATAATATTACAGTAAAAATAGAAATTACAGAAAACACACAGAAGAAGTATCGTCTCAGGGCCCAAGAGTTAGAGAAACAATCTTTCATAATGTCACCAACCCGTCAATGAACAGGTAAAATTCCTTGTATAAAGAAGAGAAGAAGAGGAAAAAGAGAAAAATAAGTCTAATTCATCAGATAAAGACCATATAGAAACAGGGTACTCTTCCTTAAAACCTAGGAAATCAGTCGACGAGGACCCTCCAACTGTTGTTTGGATAGCCCTCGTTTTAGATCTCGTATTTTTATTATTACATTCATGATTATTATAAAAAGTAGAGGAATCATACTACCTTATTGTTTCAATACCCTCTCTATGGAGACCCCGATATAATAACAACAGGTGGACACGGAGAATTCTAGAATGAAGACCAAGGACAACAAGAAGCATGAAACGACCTCAAAAAAGATGGGTAGTTGACATAAGAGCAGTGACAGGCAAACAGTGGATTAGACTGGCGCAAGATAGAGAAAGATGGAAGCAATCGGGAGAGACCTACATTCAGGAGTGGATGGAAAATGGTTGACAAAGAGAGAGAGAGGGAGAGAGTTTTTAGTATATACTTTAAATGCCACTTGTGCTAGACAGATTGCTATATATTTCTCTCAGTTGGTTAAGGTTCATTTCTCATAAATTCGTAGAATAAGATTATTTCCCAAATGTTTTGGTATTTTACTTTGCTTCCACGCGTCATTATATATGCTCCAAAACTAGTCTATAGCTTACTCGCTTATCCGTTTAACTATTTTTGGTTCTATTCCATCTGCTCCTTAGCTTTAACTTTTTTTTTAATTTTTTTGTTCCTTAAGTGTTTTGTGTATTATTTGAGATCATAATTTTATTTGTGTAGTCTTTTTTAACTTAAATTTACAGGTGTGATTTCTTTCCAAATTCTTAAGTGTGGTTTATGTTGTATTTTGTCATTTCCATCTTTTATATCATATATTTCTGTTCTCTTTTTTGCCCTCTTATTGCTTTGATCTTATCAAAATTTTCTATTGTCATTTTTATAACCTTCATTTAAGTCGTACCCAAATTCTTCTCAGGATTTTTATTTCGCATCTCTTACTGCCTTTCTGGCAATTTTATTTTTATTATTATATACTCCTTTATCATTTGAATTCTTTGTTTGTACTTAACCTTTTCATATTTTTTTTATCAGTGACTGCCTTTTTAACTGGGTTTATCCACCATCGGGTTTGTTTTTGATTTTTCATTATTTTTTTATTTCCATAGGATTCATGTTCTGACTCGTATATTACTTCCTTTACCTTTTTTCCATTTAACATTTTGTGAACTCTCGTTTTCATTCCACTCATATTTCTGTCGTAGCTTCATTAATTACTTTTACTTCTTTTATCGTTGTTTTTAGCTCTTGTGAATATGTTAGCTCTAGCTCTTATTCTCTTGGCTTAAACGTATATCTTCATTTAGGATTTACCTTCATTTAGATCACTGATTTATTTGTCGTTGCCATAGGCTGTTTCCTATTTTCATATTATTGGCAATACCGAATTGGATCATTATATCTCCGTTTCTATTTCTTTCCATTGCTCACTATTCTCTAATGCATCCCTATGCTTTGTCTATATAATTTACTATCCTAGCGTTCCAGTCTTCTGGTATTACTCCTTATTATTTTTTTTTCTCTAATTGTGTGTTATAATCTAGTGTGTTTTGTAATTGAGTATATAAATCGTCCATTTTACTATCATATTATGATCTCTCAACTGGGGCGTATATATGTATTATGTGTAATTTCTCTTTTATTTCTAGCTTAATGAAATTATTCATTGTAATCCTGCTTCACAGTTTAAAATATTCTTTTGTATATTCTCGTTTACTATTATTTATACAACATCTTTCCGTTATCGTGTTTTCTTCTGCGTCTGAGTAGTATATTTTCTATTTTTTGTCTAATAATTTTATCCCTTTTTCCTTTATTTTAGAATCACTTAATCTTATAATACTTTTACTTTATTTTTCCATTTTTTTAACTGTTTCTATTTCTTTATTTTATAAGTTTTTAGTTGTTTTTTTTATGTATGTGGTTGGATATATGACTGCGGATCATATTATATTCTGATTCTGGATAAATTTCGCACTTCCTTTCCGATTTTATATAATTTGTTGTTTTGTTCCTGCCATTGGTTCATTTGCTTCTTTCCTGTATCCTAATATTTCCGGGGTATACGATTCTTTCTGAATTTTTAATCTGTTGTTACTTTGTGGTCTTTTATCGTTTTGTTTTTGAGCTTGACTTTACAGGTCCGAACTTTGGTTTTGCTTGTTTCCAATTCGATGTCTATTACATCTTTATCTCCATTTATTTTCAGGCTTACTGTATTATTTATTGTGGTTACTTTGTTCTGTAGAATTTTCGGAATTTTTGTTTTTGTTTTAATCTATTTAGTAAATTATATTATTTTTTCCCTATTTCCTTTTCCAAATTTCCAACTTTTAAGTTTTTTCTCTTATGATTTTCTCTCTTAATTTGTTAATTTTTTAGTTGTAGTCTAATGAGATCATTTAATATTTTATCTAGTTTGTCGTCAATTTTTCGATATCTCTTTTTTCTATTTGTTTTAGACGTTGTAGGAATGTCTTCATTTTTGGGTAAACCCATCGGAGGAACCGCTTTTTACCTTTTTATTAGTTACTAATCTATATTATTTTTATATTAAGTATTTCTGATTTAATTAATTATTATATTTAACACCTGACATTATTTTATTGAAGTTAACTTGCTGGCCTATCTTTAAAATATAATTATAGAAGTACTGATAACTTTTTGACAAGAGTACTTAACTTTATATTCTACACAATTAGAAAAGTGAGTAGGTAATTCAATTGTATTTAAATGCAGTTATAAAAATAAAAGATGACTTATATTAATGAAGTCCGCCGTTTTACTGTTTTTTTGATACTAAACACCACCAGAATTAATAGAAACCACTCAAATTTGATATTATTTGGAGGCAAATGAAAATGTTTGCTTTACTGTGAATATCAAATTATACTACTTAATAAATCTCAATTTTAAAGAAATTAATATTTAAAAAATATACCTCAGTTCCCAAAAAATGAATAAGGAAAGAACAGCAATATTTCGAATTTCAGTAAATAAACAAGGCGAAAAGCTCGGGTGCGTTCGGAAAAATATTCATATGAGATTTTTTTCAATAATCTCTTTTACGAGATAACTCAAAATAAGTTTCAAGAGGTCCCCAGGCACAAAGTTATTCAAATTTAAAAAAAAAATTTTTTAAACAAATAGCAATTAATTTTTCGGCCAAGACAATTGTTTGGATCACTCTGGACATAGTAGGTCTGTGTCTCTATATTGTCTCTCTAAACTTGATCGTTTTCGAGTTATAAACAATTTAAAACTGAAACAAAACACAAAATTATGATTTTAAACGCTCAAAAACACAAGTAAAACCTATTATTTTTGAATTCCCCAAATACCTAAATTCAAGTTCCTTCTTCAAACCTTTTTCTACAATTTTCCGTTAGGAATTGTGAGGCTATTTCATTTTTAAACATTGTTTCTTAATCTCTGGTTTGAATTCTCATTGTACAAATAAGCGCCCGCCCTGACCTTTTCGCCTTGTCTAAAACGATTTACCTATTTACCAGCATACACATAAGGGATGTAAAAAATAAGTGTAAATAATACTTATGATGTAATTCCTTCTTATTAAAAACTTATATTTCTTTTACTTGTTTCAGTCAACAACTTAAAAATGGCCATCATTACAGGAAATATCTGTTACGATCTTACGGGATTAGTTTTTGCATTCATAGCCATATTTGTGGTATACTGTCAATGGGCATTCCGTTACTGGAAGGTCAGAGGTGTACCATTTGTGGAGCCTAGGATTCCATGGGGCAGTCTTAAGTCTCAAATCAACTCCACCATATCAATGGGAGAAGAATTCGCCCAGATGTATGCGAACGCTAAGCGAGATGGTAAGAACAAAAGCATATAATATTTCGTAGAATTTGTTACATTATTGGTCTTTTTAACATAATTATATACATTTACTCTAATATTTACAAATAATTCTTCAAGCTTTTAACAGTAGACAAAATAACAAATAATGTCGTTGTATGCAGTTACACTTTCTAGCTAGTATGGAATTCTTTAGTTGTAGATTTCAGACTATTCAGTGCATTTTGATTGTAAGAGGCAATAACTATCTTGGCCGAATTGAGGTATTTTTTTTTAATTACTTAAGCATAAAAATTTATTACTAGCAGTTCTGCTTAAAAAGATTATGGGCGCGTTGGCCAGAATTATTGATAGTCTGGTGTATACTGGTAGCACCAGTAATCTCAAGTTTCATTCCTTCCTGTGTATTGGACCCATACGTGAGAACGCCACTTGTGATTTTAGCGATGCCTTTTTATGTTAACTGTTTCCTGTTAATGATTTTTAAACATATCAAATAATTTCCATTCTTGTCTTACATTTTGTAGTCATTTTAATTAACAAAACGATAAAATTACCAAATTCCTACAGGTACAAAATATTTACGATTTCCAAAAAGTATAGGGTCAATAATTTATAACCCCTGAACTTTCTTAGAAAGGATTACAATTTCCAACCCGCAGAACGTGTTTTGCAGATAGTGAATCATTTTAGTTAAGATTAACATAATGTGTTTGTAAACTCCTGTGATAATAACACGCGGAATTGTTAGTTCTAAAATAAAAAGCAATATTAATTCGTGAACTTGTGTAGTAAAAATGTCACAACTGTCTAATTTCACTTATGTGAAATTAAAATGTCACTTAATCGTGCCAATGAAAACTATAGTGTAAAATGTCCATAATGCTCTTGTACATAAACATTTTACAAGTATTATTCGGAATATAGTTTCTAAGTCACTCTGATATGAAGCAACTACTTAAAGCAACGAAAGAGTGGTAGTATTACAAAAGCGCCTAAAATGTCAACAGACAGAAAATCTATTCATATAGACGATACTGTGAAACTGTGAAACGATGATCGGTTCGAAGAAAAGTTCATTTTATTTACAAAAAAATATTTCTACTTTGGATAACCTTTTAGTAGACATTAATGAAAACAAATCTTTGCCAAACATTAAAACGTTAAATTGTGAAAAGCTTTATGTGAATTAAGATTTGTTTATGAGAATAACAATAGAAAATTTGCGCTCCTAGAGAAAAAAGAAATTATTTTTTTAGAGAAAGCAATATTCTAGGGAAATTCGAAAATTGAGGAGAGTAGGCAAAAAGGTTTTTATTTAGATGAAACATAGATAAATGAAGGGCATTTTGTAAAAAATTTTGCAAGATAAACTGGGGACAAGTGCTCATCAGCCATTTATAGGAGGTTTATCTACGGGCTTAAAATTTCCAAATGTTAAAGGTCTATTCCAGCTAATTATATCTGATCAGGCAGCAAGAAAAATAATACATGCACAATTTGTTTTGTTTTGAATCTATGACATATTGAATGCTGTATTTCACACGACTTTTTTAGCACTTATACTGTTATCTAAATTTAAAATTTTTAAAATTTTTTTTGCTTATCTTGTAAAGTATATTATTTTGCAGCTAACTATATCGGATTTATTTAAATATTCTGATTATTATAATCATTAGTATGGAAATTTTACTCACATCCGATAGATGGGTAGGTTATACCTTAATATCTTAAATTTTTGTTTTGTTTGTAATTCTTTAATTTCCTTGCAGTCTGTAGTATGCCTTAAACAAATTATTATTACTAAAGAAGTACTTGGCTTAAGAAAAATCTCTAATCATTATTACCTATAACAGGATTAACTTAAGACGATTAATACAACAATTACTTATTATCCATTTACAAATTGTTGATAGCATGAAATGTGCCTTAAAGTCATAAAACGATCGTTAAATTTGTATCTTCGTAGGCGTTCCTGAGGTGTTTATTCATTAAAATTATTATTAATATTAATAATGTTGTAATACTAATATATTTAGCAAAAAAGAATTAAAACTTTCACTGCTAATGTGGGTTATTATATTATATTAAGAAAAATAAGAATTTAACCATTAACAATTTTATAAATCAGAATACCTTATCTCTTTGGATATTTCAAAACTATTCTTCGCGTTCAATCACTTCACTACACAACCTGGAATTCATATCCGAATGTACTATTCGTTGCAAGATAATTAGGATGGAATTCCACAGATTTTTAATAATATAATGGGTATAGATGCCGGCTTTGGCCACGTGCCTCGTCTGTTCAGATTATATTCGAAATTTAACTTAAAAGGGCGAAGTTATTATAACCGAAAACAATTTTTTTGTTTAGTACATTTTTGATCGCATGTAATTTACGGCTCCTCGGTGTTTCCGCGTCTACGGCAGTAATTAGCGTCTCGAATATTTCTTTTGCGAAATATATGCAGTGCGTAAGTGATTTTTTATTCCGCATACCTACGAACATATACGTACCTTTCACTCGTTTTCGTTTTGTTGGATTGTTTGTGATATCTTCATCATCAACATCATCAAGTTTTACACTTGTACTGTTGCGTACAGTCCGTAAGTCTGTCTATTCACCAAGAGAGAAGACTATTGTCCTGAACGTTTATTTTTCTGGTTTCTCAGAAGCCAAGGCGTAAGGGAGTCAACTATATATAGGTTCCTATCAGAAAGAAAAAAATACGGTATAGCTAACCCAAATACAAACGAACACTTAAACAGAGGATAAAAGCCTATTGAAATTGATGAATTTGCCAAAGATAGTATTCGAAGGAAAATTCATGGATTTTTTTTTCAAAAAAGAAATACCAAACCTAAACAAAATTCTACAAGAAATTAGAGACTACCCGGATTTGCCTCATATCGGACGAACTAAATTGTGGCAAGTTTTAAAAGAATTAAATTTCCGGTGGGAGAAATCAGACCGAAAATCACTTTTGATTAACCGGGAGGAGATACGTGGGTAAACTCAGGTCATATTCTAAAAAAAATTATTCAGATAAAAATATATTATGCTCCAGGCAAGCCTTTATGGAAGGTTAGTCTACTGGGATCTCCCCACCTTCTGGTAAAGGCAGTAGATTAATAATTTCTCACATGCACAGGGAAAAATGATTTGTTAAGCATGGTTTGTTGGAATTTTAGTCCAAAAGCACAAAAGACTATCACGAGGAAATGACAGCTGATGTTTTCGAACAGTATTTTGAGCAGATGATTAAACACATACCACCATATTTAATTATAGTATTAGATAATGCATCTTATCATTCACGACTAGTAGAAAGACTTCCAACGACTGCGTGGAAGAAACAGGATATTCTTGACTGGCTGCGGAATAAGTATCTGCCTTACAAATATGTAATGGTAAAAGCAAAACTTTAAAAATCGCCCGGCAACACAAATCTAAGTTCAAGAAATACGTAGTTGACAAAATGGCGGAAAGGCGAAACATCACAGTCCTTAGACTTTCACCCTACCACTGCGAATTAAATCCAATTGAACTCATTTAGGCGCAAATAAAAAGTTATGTGGCTAGAAAAAATACGTCATTTAAGATACAAGCTGTACGTGAATTGTTATACGAGTCTTTACAACATATTACAGAACAAAACTGGAAACATGCAGTAAGACATGTAATAGAAGTAGAACAAAAAATGTGGGATCTTGATAACATAATTAATGCGACCGTAGAGACACAACCGCTAATTATTAACCCTCAAGACGAGTCGGATTCCGAAGTTGTTCCTATTTATTTTGAATTTGAATAGTTTTCTAATCGTAATTATATAAAATAAGTAATAGTAGTTGTAATCGAAAAGCAAAAACGCGCAAAATGTCGCCTGTCAAAATGTTCAATGCGTTTTAAATGTATCCATTTTTTTCAAATCCTGAGATAACTAAAAAGCATTTTTGAAAAATTTAAAGGCAGAATGAGATATTTATTAGAATAAACAAAAAGTTTCTTTTGCATGCAATATTTTCAATTAAAAATTATACTATAATTTTCTCTTTTATTTTCACCCTTGTTACATAACATATTAAAATAAACACTGTCGAACTTTTCAGGGACTTTCTGCCCTCAGTACTAATGTAATCTTTGATTCTGCGTTAAAATTTTTCAAAAATATTTATTAGTTTTCTCCCGACTCGAAAATAATGGATACATTTAAAACACATTGAAAATGAAAATTTTGCCAAGCGACATTTGGCGCCTTTCCCCTTAATTAAATAAATGTATCTTTTACAAATGACAAGAAACTTTTTGTTTTTGAATAAAATAAAGAAGTTTTATTAAAACAAAAATACTATTTAAAAAATATATTTATTTAGTTCAAATAAATATTTCAATCATATACTCTACGAGACTGGTCGGTCATCTGTAACCGACGAAAAATACCTTCGTAATCGGATTATAAGGTTGACCGTTGTATCGTATTCTTGCAGATACGAGGTGGGTTAGTCGAAAACATCTTAAACCGTCAGTTTCAGGTTGGTTTTTACTATTATATCGTATTACCTATCCTCTCTGTATTTCAGTTCTCTAATTAGGATTAAACTTCGTAGTGAGCTATCGACAAGTTGTGAACCGAGTATAAAACCATTCAAAACTTAAAATCTGATGATTAGACTGTACGCTGTAAAACGATTAACTTCAATTAGTATGTTTTGCCCTTTCATTGAATCATTACAATAACAATGTTATTAGGATAATCAGTACATATACATATGAATACTTAGCATTTTAAAATCTCTTTTTTCATCGAATGTATCTGCTAGTCTCTTGTATACTCAGTTTCCTGATTACAGTCCTAACCGTCAGTTTAGTAATTGTTTTTTGCTTGGTAGCTTAATTTTGAAGAGATGGTAAAAAGCTGATTGTTCACCAAGACTTTATGAATATAACGTTGTTGGGTTTGAAAAGAAATATATAAATCAGAAAAATATCAGATTTATAAATAACGGATAG